AGCGTGGCGGAGAGATCGGAAGAAGAAGAAGAGAGAATGGGAGCGCACGGGGCAGAGGCCTGGTCCGGGGCCTTTTATAAGGTCGTCCCCCGAGTGACTGACTGGTGGGCCCAGACGATCTAAACAAATCCCGCAACAGTCGCGCACGCAGTACGTGGCGAAAAGGGTGGCGCGGGGATCAAGGAGACTTGCCTAATCCGTCCCGATAACCTCGGTTCCGTCCGTCTGGCGCACTTCCCAAAATTTGAATCCCGCGAAATCCGCGAAGAGCAGAGCAACCTGTCAGACTGAAGACAAACATCCTCTACATCATCATTCGGAATTCTACCGTGAAAATTCACTCGACAAAAACCAAGAATGGATCAAGGCGACTGAGAAAGGAGTCGACGGCATCACCTCAACTCATTGTTCCAGAACAAGATATACTCATAGCACAAAGAATGGGTCGGAAGTGTTCCCAACTCCTTCCTCACTCAAACCCTAATCCATTCGGGGGCTAATGATGAAGCTATGTACTTAGGGTAGGGTCATGGATCTGTCCAACATACCCTCCCCAAGGACATCTCTACAAAGAATCAGAAGCAGTCGAAGAGAAACCATCATCCACTCGACCGTGAAGATGTGCTCACTCGACCACCTTGAAGACACTCGACCACCAGAAGATGAGAAACTCTCCACTCTGCAACAATCAGGAATTAAACCATAGCTTTATGGGCATTTACAACACTTTACTGTAGACGTTACCAGTAATGCCCCTCCTTTATGAGCATTGAACCTTGTGTAACAGAGGGGAGTTGGGGTCCTGGCGTACTCTATATAAGCCACCCCCCTCCTCTGGGACAAGGGTTCGCACTTTCTGTAATTCACACGCATATATCCAGTCGACCGCCTCTGGGCTCCGAGACGTAGGGCTGTTACTTCCTCCGAGAAGGGCCTGAACTCGTAAAACTCATGTGTACAACTCCTCCATAGCTAGGATCTTGCCTCTACATTCCTACCCCCCCCCCTATTCTACTGTCAGTCTTAGAACCACGACACTGCTAGCATGAGGTCCTCTTTGATTTTGTCTTTCGGCCTATTGCCAGAGCACAAACTCCTCCACCACTCACCAATGGATGGTGGTGTTGTAGCCACATGGCACATCATGGCATTACACTGTTGGAATCGAAACCAAGTATCCTTCGCATACGAACAGTGCAGTGCAACTAGCCAGTATTTATCTCATGCCTTTCCTCATTATGGGTTCGATATTCTGGTGTCCTAGGCGTGTAGAGGAACCACACTAATCCATCCCGAATTTGGTGGTTAAACTTTACTACAGTGACGATTCTGTAGGGGAGGCTCTGTGGCAAAAATAGCTTGATGCCAGAATGATAAAAAGCTTAACACTTCTTATTTGACCTTTTTCACTATTTTGATACATATTGTTTTGCTGATATTTGAAGGTTTATTATTTTTCTTTTTACCTCATCAAAAAAATCATTAGGTGGTACACTATATCTATTTATTTATTACAATTCCTTCTAATGACTTACGCGTTCTGTTATCATTTCCTACTGGAGGATCCCTTAATCCAATTCAAGGAGGATTATAAATGGATAGATATCTTTGATTTGCACTAGAGACTGAGAGTCGATGGACTTTCATTAGGATCTATTTTATTAACCAGATTTATCATTACTTTAGCTACCTTAGCAGGTTGGCCAATTACACGAAATTCATGATTATTCTATTTCCTGATCCTCGCAATGTATGGTGGTCAAAAAGGATTTGTTTCTTCGTGAGACCTTTTTTTTGTCTAGCCCTGCTATCAATCACTTCGTTAAACGGGTAAAGGGATCGAAAGATTATGGTATGAAATAGAGATTTGAGAGTCCCTCGCATGAGTACATGCTGAAGAGCAAGGAGTGAAAGGTTTCAAGCTCTTCGTCACAGAGTTTGCATAGATCATTGTGAGGCCATCCTCTCGCGTGCAATCAATCGGTCGCCCAGTTCCTATTTTGCAGCAAAACACGTGTAAAACCTCACTTTTCCTTCCATCTTACATGTCCACACCCTTGCCGATCCCGATTGTTCAATCTTTGCCAGAAACTAAGCCTCATAAGCTGAGTGTGTGGTGTAGGCCCCATTGACAGTGAGATTCCAAACGATGGTGTCTTTCTCCGCCAACAAATTGATCATTTGCACCCCTTTCCATAATTTGACAAACTGAGCCAACCGCTCCTTATTGTCCATTCTTTGGAGCCCTTGCATCCACCTTCCAGTATGCAACCCATCCTTAACTGTAACTTTCTTGAACCTTGCCTATTTGAACAATTTATGAGCCACTGTATTTGGTGCCTCACTGTTAAACCATTGGCCTTTCCAGAAACTTGCAATGCTCCCATCTCCCAACTGAATTTTAGTGCAATTGTAGAACAACTGCCTATTTGTGTCATCACATGATGTTGCAAATCCTTTCCATGGTCTGTTCCCTTCATGCCAACGGAATCCCAATGTATCTGCATGGCTCGACTGAAGCATTCAATGTTCTTGATTCCCAATCCCCCATATCTTCCAGGCGAGCAAACTTGTTCCAGTTGACCAAACTTTTCCCACAAGTGACTTCAGGCATCTATGGTTTTCATGCCTCCGGCCAGCTCGTCTCCTGTGGCCTTAGGCCCATAGAGGCATGGTGGATCCTGGGCCCTTACCAGTCGAAGGGCTCCTACTTTGCTTTTATGTGTTTTCTAATCTGTTTAGGTTTTGTGTCCTACTCAAAAAGGTGAGGCGGCGACGGCTCTCTGAAGATGGGATAAAGTTCTTTTCACGACACTCCATCCCAGTGGTGCATCCCACGTCATTGGAGGGCGCGTGGAGGGTTGTCTCCGGTGGATCTTGCGGAATTTGGTCGGTGTTTGTCTTTGGTGAATCTGCATGGATCCGGTCTTCCTTCATCTGCATTTGTGTGTCTCTAAGTTGGATCTTTCTAATCTACGCTTCTCCCCATTGGCGATGGTTGCTACTCTAGTCCTTTGGGGTCTTAGCATGACGACTTTTCGACTGTCTACTATAACAAGGGTTGCCCTGCTTTGGTGGGTGAGGGGCGATGACGGCTCACTCCAATGATTGTACTTGACGCTAGGTGGTCTATTGACATTGGATGTATTTTTTTTATTTTGGTACTTTTTGTACTGCCATGATGTTTGATGAATAGATTGGAAGTTTTTCCTTGAAAAAAAAGCTTAGACCTGGATACTTGTATAAGAAAAATAGGACTGAATATTGGTTGGTTTTCATAGGACATAGCCCACTTTCCCCGTATGTTCGTTTGCACATGTGCGGACACAAAAAAGATTGCCCAATGAGGTTTCCAAACTTGTTCCAAATATCCAGAAGATCTATGAATGCCCAATTCAAACCCATACGTGAGGAAACGGGGTTGCCCGGACATGTCCGGGCTGTCAGGTTGGACACGCGTGCCCTACCCAAAACCCCACCCCGAGGCACACCCATTCCATTTACCCCCGAATCCCTCCCCTTCTGCCTGATTTCCTGTTGGAGCCCTCCGCTAAAACCATAAGTTTTCCCCGGTTGTCCTCTTTGTTCGCCACACTTCACCAACCTCACCTTCGTCATGTCGCCACCCTCTCTTTCTTGCCATGTTTCCCTTCAGACCACCAAGAGGGTTGCCCGTCTCCGCATTGATCCGCCATGCCATGGAGCACCGCCCCTAGCGTTGCCCTCACTCGCGAGGAGTGTGTCGCCTAAAGCTAAGGAGGAGGAAGGGAGCACCGCCCCATGATGCCTCCCGAGCCAAGAGCGAGGTACGCGCCACCCTTCGGGTCACCAAGGAGGAGGAATTCGCTGCCCGTCACCGGGTCGTTGTTGTCCCTGATGTTGCTGAATGCTAGGCTGCCACCCGCCACAACTCCGAGGAGATCATGGCCAATGCCCCTTGATGTCCTATCCGGTGTCGGGATGAACGCATCCCCGCTGCCCGCCGGTACGTTGCCCACAAGGCCGCCGTCGAGGCCAAAGTCCAGGCAACTGATACGGAAGACAACGAGGCGGTCGCCATGGCGCGCTACCACGATGCCCTCTTCTACTTACAACGCGTTGACTCGCAAGTTGCAACGGCCAATGCCACATCCGAGAAGGTCTTTTCAAATACTATCTTATTAGAAGTACTTTGGTAAACTAGTACTACCTCCGTCCAACAATGTAAGACTTTTTTGACACTATGAGATGGAGGGAGTAATTGTGTATGTGCAATGCACGTTAGTATCAAGCAATATATTAATTGTATTCTATATATATATATATATATATATATATATATATATATATATATATATATTAGAAGTATTCCATGTTAATATTAGCAAGATATAAATTGCATGTTAATATTAGGTAGAATACAATTACTTGGCTAATGCTACTAACATTGATATTATGTATTTTGTTTATTAATGGAGGGTGCTAAACGTGTTTAGTGCTAAACATCAGAGCGATGTAGGCCATTGAATAGATGTGGTCGAACGGATGTGATTATTACGTGATGTTTAACATATACAAATGAGATGGATGCCCTTAAAAAAGTAGGAAGTTTAAGACAAGAAGAGATGTGACCGCGCATACGTTCGAACGTGTCCATGACCATATACGATTAGATAAACCCCTGAGATGCCCCTTGTAGTTCCTCACATCTGAAACGATGGTGTCGAAACAAAATAGGGTCGAGCTTTCGATCCGAGCCGTCGATGGATGGATCGGTCGACGGTCCAAGAAACGTGCTTATCCTTGCATTTGCGTGATTGTGGTTATTAATAATCGTACCCGTATACAATTGTTTCCAATCCCCTCCCATTAATGCCCACGGAGAAGGACGCGATCGAACCATCTTCTCTCCCATAAGAGGCGCACCCATCATGCAGAAAGCCATAGCTAGAGAGCTAGGCACCAACTGGCAACCGCCCCCCTAGTATAGTCCGTAGTAGTCGTAGCACCGCCTTCTCCTCATGGAGAAGGCGAGGAGGACGAGTTCACCGTCATGGACGGCCGCCGTGGCTCTGGTGTCCCTCTTTGCGGTCGCCGGCGTGGCCGCGGCGGGGGCGCCGCCGCCGAGGAGGATCCTGGTGGACACGGACATGGACACCGACGACCTCTTCGCGCTGCTCTACATCCTCAAGCAGGACCGCTCCCAATTCGACGTCAAGGTAATTTGGTGCCGTGTCCTCCTCCGTCCCGCTCTCGTGCTGCATGCTATGCGTCGTGGCACTCGTAATCGCCTCCCAGTAATCGATCTCCGATCATCTGTCCTGGTGATTTTTTAAAAATTTTGTATTTGCGAATCAGAATGTTCTGCTGATCGCATCGGCCCGGTCGTGTTCGCTCGTGCATATACGTTACCTTTTGGTGGAAAACGGCCGCTGGATCTCTCCATCGTCGTATGCATGCGCGCGTGCGCCGGCTCGAATGATTGTTTGCATTGTCGACATTGCCGATTAGTTAATTATAGGTTTGTAAAAGGAGAGGCGGTTTACACTCTTCTCAGAGAGAGAAAGAGGAAGGCGTTCAATCTTTGGAGAGGAAAAGAGGAAGCCATTTAGATAGGACAACGATGGCGCATCTTGGCCTTTGACTGCGTCGGATTTTCTCTCCCTCTCTAGACTCTACTAGTAGTAGTGCATTACTCTGATAAGTTGTGATGTGAACGTACGTACACTGTGCGTAGGCCATTACCATCAGCGCCAACGCATGGATCGACGCCGGCCACGGCGTCGACCAGCTCTACGACATCCTCTACATGATGGGCCGCGACGACATTGCCGTCGGCGTCGGCGGCGACGGCGGCATATCGGAGGCTGGAGAGATACACCCCGACGTCGGCGGCTACCTCCCCCTGATAGACCAGGTACGTACTGATCGATGAATCGGCGGCCGGCGAAGCGCCGAAGCCACGAATTACCATTATTAATTTACAAGCTTGCTAAAAAGATTACGTACGGCAGGGCATGTCGACGGTGGGCGGCTGCCGATACCGGCAAGCCGTCCCGCCGGGACGCCGTGGCGGGCGCCTCGACACCGACACCAACGGCGGCCTCCGTAGGGGCTTCCTCCCGCAGGGCCACCGGGGGTACGCGCCGCTCCGGCAGCCCACGGCGCAGCAAGTGATGGTGGACACGGTGTCGGCGGGCCCTACCACGCTGCTCCTCTTTGGGACCCACACCAACGCCGCGCTCCTCCTCATGGCGCACCCGCACCTGAGGCGCAACGTGGAGCGCGTCTACGTCCTCGGCGGCGGCGTAAGGGTGGCGGGGAACCTCTTCACCGCCTACGGCGCCAACCCGTTCGCGGAGTTCAACGTGTTCGGCGACCCCTTCGCCGCCTACCAGGTGCTCCACTCCGGCGTCCCCGTCACGCTCGTCCCTCTCGACGCCACCAACACCATCCCGGTCACCGAGGAGTACTTCGCCGAGTTCGGCCGGCGGTGGCAGACCACGCCCGAGGCGCGCTACTGCTTCCAGTCGCTCGACCTAGTCCTGAGGAGACACAGAAGGCCGGCTCCCGGCCTCCATGGCAGCACGGCAAGCTCTCCATCCAATTCAAAATCTTTTCCATTTTTTACATCCTTGTCATTAAAGATTTCAATTCATCAATTATGATAATATTTTTCTTTTCTTGTAACTGCAGGGCTATTACATGTGGGATTCCTTTGCCGCCGGTGTGGCTTTCTCTAGCATGCGCAATGGCGACGCCAATGGCGCAAATGACTTTGCTGAGCTAGAGTACATGAACATCACGGTGATCACTTCCAACAAACCGTACGGCGTGCGCGACGGCTCGAACCCGTTTTTCGATGGCCGCGCGACGCCCAAGTTTGGTCTGAAGGTGGGTGGTGTTCACAGTGGCCATGTCCAGACTGGGATCGGAGATAGTTTCTGCTTGGTGCCGGGAAGCAACGCAGGTAGATGCCAGGTAAGATATCTCTATGTGTCACTCATGCCAAAAAACAAAATCCCATGTAAGAGTAGTATAAATTCACAGTGACTTGCATTTCTCCTTATAGGATGGATACACCAAGGAAGTGACTGGTTCAGAAGGAGTCCGCGTTCGTGTTGCCACGAGCGCGAAGCCAAACCCGGTTTACAATAGCGCGTTTGATAGGGAATTTTCCAAGAACTTCCTAGAGGTAAAGCACTAAGCAGTATATATGCATGATTAGCAATTGGAGTGGAGTTTGCGTGCTAATTTAGTATCTAAAAGAGCGCAGCATTTAAATTAAATTGAACAGTTTGAACATGCATAGACACTTCAGAAGAATATGCATCCAGATTGTGTAACTAAATTTCACTCTGTCTACGAGGAATCATAAATTTCTTAAATTGCTGCCACCTAACTGAACTCTTTTGGTCAGGTCCAAATAGCTGTCCCCTAACTGAACTCTTTTCTTCAGGTCCTAAATTGATGTCCCCTAACTGAACTCTTTCCTTCATCAGGTCCTAAATCTCGCTAAACAAGCTGGTCGATTTAACATCAGTACGCAATTCCCATATTACAGGGAAGTTCTTTATAAGCCAGATTTCATAAACGTGAGCAGGGGAAAGCCAGTTATTTTTGACATGGACATGAGCCCTGGAGATTTTGTTTCTCTTATATATCTCTTGAAGGCACCAAGAGAAGTTATAGATCTAAAGGTGAGGGAAAGTATACTTTGACTGAAAATCTGTTAAATGAACTTTATGCTGTACTGTTAAACAGCCAAGTTACTGATGAAAGCTACTTTACTGACTAATTATAGGGAGTTTTGGTCAATGGCAATGGATGGGCGAATATCGCAAGCATCGATATCATTTATGACATTCTACATATGATGGGCCGCGACGACATTCCAGTTGGCCTTGGCAATACCACTGCAATGGGGAATCCAACCCTTGGTTGCAACAATGTGTATGCTATTCCGTTGGGCAGTGGTGGATTTATCGACTCCGATACATTGTATGGACTGGCTCGGTTATTGCCAAGAAGTCCTAGAAGGTAAGGAAAAAGTTCTGCATTTGCTTCATTTGAATAGAAGTGTGATAACTGAAAATGGCGCAAAATATTTACACGGTTATCGATCGCATGATCAGATACACTCCTGAAAGTACAGATGATCCAGAACATCGGCAGCCACTGGCTTTTGAAGTGTGGCAGTCTGTCAGGAGGCAACTTGGTCCAGGGGACAAGATCACTCTTCTTACCAGTGGACCTCTCACCAATTTGGCAAACATTTCACTCTCTGACAGGGATGCAAGCTCTGTGATAGAGGTCAGTATGCTCCCTATCTCCAGACCTCTATAGTTTTGACCCAATATCTGTGAAAAGATCTTGCTCAACACATTTTCTCCATGTGCAGAGAATTTATGTTGTTGGAGGGCTCATCAGAGATGGAGGTCATGAGAAGGGGAATGTGTTCACTGTTCCATCGAACAGATACGCAGAGTTAAACATGTTTCTTGATCCACTGGCTGCAAAAACAGTCCTGGAATCCAATCTGAATATCACACTCATTCCCCTTACAATGCAACGAAAAGCTGCTTCATTCAGGGCTGTCCTGGATGCCTTCGAGCAAACCCGGCAAACTCCTGAATCAAATTTTGTCCAAGAGTTGTTGTCACTATTGAAGGATCTTCGGAGCAAAAAGAAGCTGTATCACCATGTGGTAACAGACAGCAAATCACCCTGTTTTTTGCGCACATACTTGATAGTTGATACTCGCTGTAAAATTTAAAATTATTTTCTTTGCAGATATAATTTTATTTCAAATTTAAGAATTATCTGCAACTTTTCGTGTTTTCAGGATATATTTTTGGGAGAAGTTCTTGGTGCGGTTTACATGGTTCAAGGATCTGACCTGAAATCAACTTTAAAGGTGAAGCGAATAAGCGTCCTTGCCGATACAATGAAAAGCACGGATGGGCAGATTGTGATCAGCAAGCAGAGTACAAAGCTGGTGCATGTGTTAAGTGATTTCAATGTTGAAATATATTACAATCGATTGGCAAATTCTTTAACGAACAAGAAACAGTCTGCCATCGTTGCGAGCTTTGAAGAACAAAAGGCAATTTGGAGCAGGCCACCAAATAATTCAGGGCCTGGACACAACAGATTCTTATAGTGGTACAGCTTAAGAAGAATTAAAAATTAGATACCAAAAAGTCCACATGGAGAATAGAATATTTAGTCATCTTAGCGTCAAAGTAAAAGGAAGATTTAATAGAGTTACACTTTTATGAAGGAGCACTGATGCGTTGGATTCACCTTCTCAAGATGGGTTCGATTGATTTTGGCACTTGAGAGATATTGTTTGTTTTGCTTTAAAATTCAAGTTGTCAGTTGCCTGCGATTCTATGCAACATCATTACATTTCTATTAATATGTAAAGGTTGTAGCTTACAGAAAATCCATGACTTTACATTGAGAGCAACAAGAAATTTTAAAATCTATATATTGTAAATACAATAAATACCAAATATATTAATCACAAATGCCGGTGAAAGCTTGCTCACAGTTAGTCACCGGGAAAAGATTCAGACTTTAGGACTCTAATGATGACTGCACGTAATTGGACTCTCAAAGATGGGGTACAACTCATTTTTAATACATGATACATAGCAGAACATTTAGCGAGCACAAGAACACCCCGAGGACATGTTAATACAGGACAAACAGTAAATTCAATTCATATGCACAACATTTTATTGATAAATTGTGTGTTTTTTATTGACTCATAGTCTAGCATGGAGGGATACAATAATAACGAGTACACACCTAGCCTCTGCATAAATAGGATGCACAAAACCAACACGAAACACGCACCTAAACGATCACACCGGCAAAGAGCAAAGTCATACAAGGCCGAACCTATGTCTAGGCGGATGGAGAGAAAAAACCAAAGCAATGGAAACAACGACTGACAATATACAACAGTGACCGACACCAACCGTCCCTTGACAGCACAAGGACTCCAAGAAAGGCTCTCCAATGCAACGCCTCCAAGAAGGGAACGATGTTCAAGTGTCGCCATCGCCGAATCCAACAACCGAGATCAGATCGTGGGTTTTCATCAGCGTAACGACGCAAAGAACTCCGCCATTGCCAGGTATGCCCACCTAGAGTTAGACATAGGGTTTCACCTTGGAGCTCAAGACTCTGACCAATTGAAGTCATCCTATATTGTCTTCATCACTTTCCTCAATCCCAATAGATGCATATGTGTACGGTCCTTATGACGAGTGATGGCCAAGCCCCCATGAGTAGTAGGTTGACGAGATGCGATAAGAGCCTCTCATCACCACCTTGACGAAGTCTTTCACGAGGAGGAAGGACGGTGGCACCCACAAAATCCCGAGTAGGGGACACTCCGGAAGCCCCGCACCATCCTCACAAGTGGCAACAAATGACTAATCTGTATTATATGATATAGTTGATAGTTGCATGCACTGCCACTAGCTCCGCCGTCCTCGCCTATGGACGCAGATCATACATGTCGAAGTCCCTCAGATGACCATCGTCCAACCGACAACTGCCCAGTAGCATGCAGGCCATATTCACGGCATCGTCGGACCTTGCGCCCAAGCCCGAGTGGAGGACCACCATGACCATCGCCTCCCTGCTGGGGAGGCGAGCGACAGCGGCGACAACCGCACTTGTCCACCACCTCAACTTGCCACGCATCAACACCAAAGAGTCACCCGAGGAGTAGCGTCCCTAGCATGGGTGGTCAACACCTCCCAGGTTGTATGCACCGCCCGGGCTGCGCGGGATGGAGGAAGAGGCAAGACACAACCATGGATGAGGAGAATCATATGTATTCTCGAAACAGGCTTTCGCCCTGCTTTATAGATAAAGCATACGTCCGTACAACCACGTCTCAAACAAAGTCATAAAAGAGAAAAGCTGGGGCCACAACACAAAGACGCCCAAATGAAAGAAACAGAAACGACAAAGGCCACCAGGGGCAAGCTACGAAGCAGGCGGGCAGGCGGGCGGAGAGCCGACGCGCGGTAGACACCAGGGCGTCCAGCAAGAGCTAAAGACGATCACGATCCCTCGGCCTAGCGAGCGGATGCCAGTACTGCAAGAAGGCAAGAAATTTGAAGAGCGAGTCAGAAGCACGACCCGGGAACACCCACTCAATCATATGTATTCCATGCTCCCATCCTCCTATCAAGGAAGATGACTGCGCCACAAGCGGCCACTTCCAATGATGAACGCTCCCTCTCTATGGCATCCATGAGCGGCGGCGGTAGGCACCATCGTGCCGATCTGGTCGTCCCCAACCATGCTTCCGCGGGATACGTGGAGCACCAGTGCCGCTACTGCAGCATCAGCCTTCACACCTCATCAAATGTCGCCCAAAGAGCCACGGGAGTGGAAGCCGCCACCATCATCAGCCTCGAGGACAAGCCCGACGGCGCTAGCCCGCGATGGCGAGGGGAGGTCTCACGAGAGGGTTTCCAGAAAAAAGGGATCAAGCCGCCACTCGAGTCGCCCACAAGGACGACGCGGGGTCTGTTTTTTATGCGTGATGTGTGTGTTTTCTTTTGGTAAAGGGAAGATATTAGTATCAATTATATCTAGCCTCTGCATCAACACGACTTAAGATTTACTCAAGACATCAAAGATGCACATAACAAATTATGACAAATATAAAAAAGCGACCTGACATAACAGTTACAACAAACAACAACCACCACCACCATTAATGATGGCAACCCCAGACAACAAGAGGTGCTTCAGTAACAACGCCTTCAAGAAGTGCTCCATAGAGGTGCTTCAGTAACAACGGATCCAAGAAGTGAATGGCGCACGAGCCAGGTTCAACTAATGAAGGTTGTACCTAGAGTTTTCATCTCTGAAACTCGTGCATATGCACTCAAAAAGCACCACCAGACATCGCTTTGTGCTGCCACCATCTGTCGACCCATCATCGCACAACCACACATATGTACCGTCTTAATATACCTAACCACACAATTATAACCATGTATGTGTACTTGTGTGCATTCAATTCCTTACATCAGCTAGGAATGTGCTGAATTGTTCAACTGCTCATAAGGCAGGCGGTTTTTGCA